TAGAGCCTTACTCGAATTAGATATTGTCTTAATATTAGCTCTTTATTACCTCTTATATTAATCTAATTAACTTCGCAAAATCTCTTATTTATAGCTTTTGAGTTAGCTTAAAACTTGCCCGGAAATCTTTCTAGTAAGAGCGCTTAATATAATAATAACTATATGAGTATTACTAATATCTAGATCCTCCCTATAATACGAGAGATTACTTCCTTATAATAAGAATATCTCTTATTAATTAACTTAATATAAAATTATTTATTAGGTCTTGCCGAACTTCTAGATAAATAATTTCGGCTTCTTTATAAAGATATAGTGGGATAACTATAAGATATAGTATATAAAAAAGTTATAAGACTAAAATATTCTAATTATAAGATACTAATAATATACTAAGATTAGTAAGGCATTTGAAAGCTTATTTATTATAATATCTGCTTCTCTTATATATATATAGATTATAGAAAGAATCTATAAATTATAGCAGAATTTGACTAATTTCCCTAAATTAATAATAAATCTATAAAGTAGTAAGAAGAATAGTAAAAAGGAAGTAAGCTTTTATAAGTTAATTTACTAGTTTGCTTTATTTCTTTAAATAGCAAAATTATTTTCCTCTATATTTATAATCTAATATTACTATTTTACGGAAAAAAAACTCTAATATAGATAATAAGACAAAATTAGATAATATTTCTAGCCTTTTTAGGAAAGCAAAGCATATATCTATATTACTAAGCCTAACTAAATATAAAACGGAAGATATAGTTTGAATTAGTACTTATATTATAGCTTCCAAAACTTAATAATTACTTATTATAGCTTCCAAAACTTAATAATTACTTATTAAGTTTCCGGAGGTATTTCTATTTTCTTTTTAGCCTATTCTATAAATATTATAGGAAATAAACCGGAAGCTAAGTTTTCTATTTACGGAAATTATAATACTAGACTTATAAGCTTTTACTATTATTATAAAACCTCTAGTATATATAACTAAAAGAGGATTTAGTTTTAACCTTAATATTCTTACTAGTATATTACTAACTCTAAAGCCCGGATAAGTATTTAACTTTACTAAGCTAGATAGAGAATTCATGCTTAATAAAGTATAATAGTTTACTATTATCTAAGCTCTTAGTATAGGGCTAGCTCTTATCTAAGGCCCGCCAGGTATAGGAAAGAGTACTTTTTTTAGATAAAGACTATAGGCCTCTATCTAAAAAAAGCTATATATTTATATTTTTCTATTTATATATATATGTTTCTGCCTATAAAAGAGGAAGAAGGAATTAGTATTATATTCTAGAATCACGTCCGTTATAATCTAGTACTTACTTTTTTACTTTTCCTTATCTTTATTACCTTTGCCTTTATTTAGTATTAAGAGCTATAAGTAATATCTTTCCTATAGAAGTAATAGAGAACACTTAGTATTAAAGAAAAGAAGCTAAATAATTATATTATAAAGCTTATACGGGATATATAGCAGGCTAATAGGACTTTAATTAGTAATACTAATATATTATAATAAATTATTTTACTAATTTTATAGAATTACTAGAATATAATTATAATTACTATTATATGCTTTAAAGACTTTATTAAGCTTATTAGTCCAGATAACTCTCGAGGTAAGTCTGGCATATTATATTATTCAAATTAGTAATATTAATTTATTACTATTTCTTTTTTCTTAGATCTCACTAATACTTAATTCTTAAATCTAGTCCAAATTAAAGATCCCGAGATATACTTTTATTCCGGTACCTAGTATATATTACTCGAGCTAGTTAGGCTATTTCTCCTATACCTTACTTAAATATTATCTAGTAAGCTAGACGAGAAGATTACCTCAAAAATAGTATGAGGCTATATCTCATATATGCTTTATATTACCTACTACTTCTCTGGGAAAAAGTAGCTAATTACTAAAGAAATATTACAGGCCTATATATATATTAATAAGCTAGAGCGGAATAGTAAGCTATTAAATAAGACTCGAGTAAAGTCGGTAATTACGAAAAATTATCTTAATATCTTAATTACTATAGTTTTCTCGGATATCTTTACTCTTAAGCTATCTGGTATTAGACTAATACTTAATCTAGTACTATATATAAATCTCTATATTAATTCTTGCGGCTATAGCTCGGACCTTACTTGGGGTAATCCGGCAGTTATAGAATAGCCAAATTATTACCTTTACTAGAACTATTATAACTTCTATATAATTTGCTTTAATAATAGTAATTATATAATTACTACTAATATTAATCTCAAGTACTAGAAAGGCTAGATAATCTCGGATAAGTAGAAAACTATTACTTTCCGATTATTGCCTACTATAATAGCTACTTAGGACTCGTTATATTTACTTATTATATTAGGCCTAGTTAATAGCGTGTTTGGGCCGGGAATAATATGGGCTAACCTAATTATTATTAAACTAAGTAAGTATATTCTTTGCGGATATAAATTAATATTACTAATTCTAATAAAGGACCTAATTATAAGTACTTATTCTTATAAGATTCGTTAGTCAGATGCCTTTATCGGAGTTCCTATATTCCGGTTAGTATTAGGATAGCCTTTTTATAATATAAAGCTTAGAGAGAATATTATAGACCTTAGTTACCTAGTTAGATTTGAATATTATATAATACTATACTTATTATATAGAGAATATATAAATATACTCTATATAAATATATCTACTAAAGATTAAAGATTCTTAATAGGCTATAAGACTAACTTGGATATTTATAGTTATTATTACTTTACTATATCCGTTATTAGTATATAGGAAATATTTCATAGTATTTATATTAGTAATATAGCCAAAAATATATGAGCTTTCTCTTAATAGAACCTAGTAGTTATCTCAGACTATTAGTAAAAAAGAGTAGCTTAGGATATAGTAGGATCCTGAGATTATTAAGGCTAGTCTTAAATTCTTGTAGGTTAAATCTAAACTCTATAAGTTATATGAATTAATTAGTACTACTATCCGTACTTGTAATCCTTATATTAAAAGCCTTATTATAGTAATTATATAGCTAAAGAACTATTAAAGAGCTCTTATAGGTATTATCTACCAAGAAGAATATTATATAGCCTTTATAGGATAGTATTCTTACTAATTTATAACCTATAATCTGGAATTCGAATCTATATTAACTAATACTATCTTAGCAGATACTTATAACTAGATACTCGAGGTTATACGGAATAACTATAATATAATTAGTACTACTAATTTATATAGATAGGAAGATAATTATAATACTTATAATAGAGATCCATTAATAATAGATAATAAGTTCGAGGTAAATAGGAGTTCTCTTACTAGCTTATCTCATTATCTTTTAGAGGAATCCGAGGCTATTTGTCTCTATAATATTAATAACGGAAGTATAATATTAAAAAACATATCTATTACTCGATTTCGAATAGCTATAAGCTCGGAAGGTTATATAGATATAGTACTATTAGATCTTATAGTTAAGGTCTTTTCTACTATATATAAGTCTAGTAAATTCATTTCTGGGAAGGAACCTTTACTTAATATATATATATATTACTTTTCTAAGGCTAATATATCTTCTAATTATTATATATCTAAAGCTATATATATTACTTATATTAAAGAAGTTAATAAAATCGCAAAGGAAGCCTTTAAAAGCTATCTCTTGCTTTTTGAATTACTATACTCGTATTATATTTAAGGACCTCTCAAGCTTATAAGTCTAAAGCTTTATAGGTATTTATTATTTAAGACATATTATAATTAGATTAAATATATCTTCTAGTATATACTAGTACTTTACTAGAAATATTATATAGCTAGTAATATCCCTTATAGGGAGTAGTATTATTATTATAATAGCTATACTATCCTAATAACTCTAATAACTAGTAATATATAGGATTCTCTAAAAGTTATACTATTAATAAGTTCGATCTTCTTCTCTAAAAAAGACTATCTCCGCTATATATACTATAAGTACCGACTTAGTTTCCTCTTTATTAAGTTAGTCTTATAGTGCGGTATCTGCAAGTAGTTTCTTGAATAAGAGTAGTTTGGGACTAGGAAAGATAATTATTTTGCCTCTTATTAGGAAGAAGTATAGAGTTTGGTTAGAGAGTATGGGTATACTAGCTAGTTTAATAATAGGCATTGAATAATTTCCTTCTTCTGCCCGTTTTGCCTTTATAGCAAGAATCTTTTACCTACTAAGAGAATCTCGGTAATAATGAGCCAGGTTACTCGTTCTAGTAGCCCTAATTATATAGCGGGGCATATTAATGCCCCCGGTTTCCCTATATCCTATATATGCCCTTGCTTCCCTATAACTTGTACTTATTAGCAAGATATGCCCCCTAAGGATCTGGCGAGTTATTTGAGCAATATCCATGGCATAGCAATGCCCAAGACTACGCATAAGGAAAAGAGAATGCAGGAGAAAGGAAGAGCACTTGGCGAAATATCTGTAAATACTTAAGGAAGATTAGGAAGCCCAAATTCATTAAAGAAAATAAAGAAATAAGGCGATTTGCTTTGGGGATTGTAGTATCAATTTGTAGTGGAGGATAACTAATCTTGCTAATTGCCCCAAATATCTTTATTACCTGCTTCCTAGCTGTTATTTTCAGATCGAGAATTATACTTTTTAAAGGGTTAGTCAAATCGCAGTACTTTACGCGTGCTTACAGGCCAAACTGACTGGCTAACGGCCTAGGAGCCTCATGATTCTTGAAAACCCATATAGAATTACTAGCGTAGAAACTTATAGCGATTAGAAAAGAAAAGAAGAAAAAATAAAGCTATTCAAACTCACGATGGCACAGCTTCATCTACATAACCACGAGATACTTCTATCTGTCCTCAAAGAATTAGAAATATACTTATTACGATTGAACTGGTCTCTATTCAACTCAGCTAATAGCTCTCATATATATACACAGCTAAGAGCAGTGACTCTTAGTTGCCACCTGACCTGGCCTGCGCCAAGGCAACAACTGTCACCTAACTCACATCAGGACAACCATATCAAGTCAACAATACTCAAGAAAGTAGGATACGTATATAGTTGCCGCGTCTCACCTTATCACCCACCGCCAGCTTTTATAGTGCTATCTGACGGCCGCGATTAGTCACCTTGGGAGGGAAAGGGCCCGGTTCCGACATATAAGATTACGATAGGATTTTAAGCAGCAGAGTTATAGTTGCCTATAATGTGAAATGCTAGAGCTTGTCCACTGGTGGGGCGCCTGGACCATGTCTCCCGAGCAAAACAGCTTCCATTTGCGTCAAGTCCTCCAAGTTTTCCTCCGCCAGATCTTTCTGCCCGTCAACCCTCTGTGCAGCAGGCATCCAAGATTGCCCGCTTGCCCAAATAGAGCCTCCATTCAACCAGGGCAGTCCCATTTGTTGACTGTTCTCCTCGATGTCATGTCGCTGATTTGGTCTGAAGATGATGCGCGAACCACCGTTACCGACGATAGAAAGGCCGCCTAGTGTCGTTGCCCTGATTCGCAGGGCCATGGAGAACTGAGCCTGGTCTGCGTGCCGCACAATGACAGCAAACTTGAGCCGCTCATATACCCCACTCTTGCTTGCTTCGTTCTCGTTGACCGTCCATCGAACCCGTATCGCCCCCTCCCCGATCAGACAGCCATGGAGCAGATGTGCACTTTCTTTTGGCTTACTCAGCGACCAAGTTGCTGAGATGTTGGTAGTGGTGATGGGAGGAAGGCTACCGGAGACCGAGAAGCCGTAAGTTTCCGCGATACTTCGGACGTGACCACGAATGAGCCTTGGGTAGAATTCGCAGATGAGAGGCCCAGCGGAGCTCCCCTCGTCGTCGACCGACGCGTCTGCTCTCGGCTGCTCTGCCTGGAATAAGGCTTCTACATTCGCCTTACGAAAGCGGAACCAGCTTCGATTTCTGGGACAGAAATCGACGGAAAACAAAATGAGGCAAGCCCGTTGACCCTGAAAAGACCCAAAAGTAACTCTTTCTAGCCGTGCGGAGAACTCAGATCGGGCTAGTTGTCCTTCCTCAAGCAGCTGTTGCTCATTCTCCCTATGTAAAGCAGTCTTCCTTCGGGCGTCTGAGTTCTCATCCCGAAAGCTTGCGAGTTGCTCTTTTCGGTTCACGTCCTCCTCCAATGTGTACAAGAAGGTTGGTCCGCCGTTAGAATCAAGTGTAGATTCGTCAGCCCACATTTTAGCGTCTGATTCAGGCTCACACATAGTGAACAAAAAGATATAGTACTATCAGCTTAGCAAATTGTGAAGATTGTTAGAAATGATGTCGGTGCTGCGAGTTGGCAGAACTTGCACGCAGAACAAAAACGATTCTGTCTAAAGTGGCCTGAGCCCAGTGTGAGAAGTTGTTCTCTATTTTACGCTGACCCGCAGAACATCATAGCACGATCTCTCGTTGACCAATGCGGTGCTGCCCGAGGCAGGAGCAACTGGAGCTGAGCTGAGGGGTGTTATGATTCTGCCGCACTTGTCCTCCAAAACGATGCCTGCTGCGACCTGCGATAGAATACACAGTCGATTTCTTCTCGCCCAAGATCGAAGTTGAGAGTTCGGCATGGAGAATCTAAGCCTGCGTTCAAAATTTGGCCGTCCGAGTGGTGCGAACTACCCCCAAGGTAGGATCACCAAACCTTGTCAGTGAACCGAGAATAACGAATGATTTGATCAGTAGGAGCAATTCCTGCACCTCTAGTGCCAGTAGTCAATGGCCGATTCCGATCTTTGTACGACACGTTGGACGAAGACACAGTCTTGAAACTGGACAGAGCGGTTTTGTATGGCAATGTTGGGGCTTTTGAGGACGCACTGGCCCTTATCGCATCCATTGCTCCAGAACTGCAATGCAGCGGCGTTGTATCTGTCGAGCATAGCTTGATACTCTGGAATCAAGGGGAATATCTGCAAGCAGCCGAAATACTCAGAAGGGCCATTGCCTTTGCAAGAAGGGAGGGGAAAGATGTTGACTCGCATAGCATTCACACCTTGATACGGCTGTTGCTGGGCCACGTGGAATATAAAACCGAAGGCGATTTTACTGCTGCACGAGACAGCATGCGTGAAACCAGGGAATGGCTTCAGAATGTGGCGATAGAAAAGCTGGACGATGTACAGGTAGGTTGCACCTTTGACGGGAACTTTGTGCAATGGACTTGGCTCAACTTTGCACAGATATACGCATTGTACCGATACTACCTGCACATTGATTGCGCTTCTCCACATCTAGGATTCAAATCCGAACACTTCACGGTCATACCTCATATCGAGGAAGCAGCCGAGGGAAGCCGTTTAAGCAATCTGCGGCAATTTCTACAAAACCAAGGCCGCTTGAGTGAAAGCTACAGAATACTGGCGGTCGAAATCAACCACTTGCTAGAAGAAGTGACAAAGCAGGACTCCATTCAATCATTCCTGAGCTATTGCTCGCCGTTGGATTCAGAGCCTGTCTGGTTTGTTGAAGGCCAGGCCAGATTGCTCTTAGCAGTATCGTTCCGACTTTCTGGGAAAATTGATCAAGCAGATGAACAATTTCGAAAGTCACGGAAATTATTTCAAGAGGCGCCGGTTCCAGAAGGTCTGAATCACTTGGAGCTCACTGTCCGACTGGAAGAGTTGAGTCATACCGGGGACGATCCTCAGATAAGCTTGACCAAATGGGTCCGGTTCTTAGAAGATGATTCTGCTCTACTGCATAATTCAGCAAAATCCACAGTGCTTCAGAATATAGTCAACACAGCGGAAGAGATACTCAAGTCCTCTGAAAACTCTGAGGTCAGAGGAATGTTTTGGAGGTTTTATCGACAGATTGAGGCCTTCTTCGAAAAAACCGGGCAATTGGCTTCGCTTTATCTCTATCGAATATCGGCGAACCAAGTGGCCTTTTCCTCTGGAGAATTTGGTTCTATCCTGCTGTGGCATGATAAGTTCGATAAGAAACACCCTCGTTTTAATTCGTCACTACACTTGCGTCTCTGGTTTTCCCAGAAATTGAACATATGTCAAAAAGCGGGAGACACTGAAGGGACCTTTCAAACAATGGGAGAACTCAATAAGTTATTCAAGGATGGAACAGAATTTTGGGGCAACGCAGATGGAGAGAGAAATGACACTTCTACCGCCCCCTTCCTTCAGAACCCGCATCTTAACGGGTTGCACCCAGAGTGGTCGAACGATCGCTGCATACGGATTGATGAGCACTGGCTATTAAGAGACCACAAGACAGATTCAGGGAGTGTGGAAAATGACTTTTCTACTTTTGTACTTGGAAGTCAGAACCTGGGTACCAAGAGTGCGAATTCCCGATATCGGACTGTGCTAAGATGGCTTCGAGAGGCTGTCGATAGCCAAGAGATCGTTCAAGAAGAATTGGAGCAAATTCTTCTATTAGATACAGAATCAAGCACTGAAATCGATGCAAAAACCCTATTGCAGGAGATCACCACGGAAGGGCTAGCCGAGCGGCTTTCCCGGCTGTCGACAACTCGGTGGATAGGGACGTTTGAAAAACTCTCGAACTGGCTTTTGAAGAAGAGCAAGCAACCAGAGGTTCAACGACACCACCTGCTTGTATTCTTAGCACATGAATTCATAGTGGCAGGTTCCGCCGAGGCGAAAATTGAGGGGACGAAACGGCTACTCGATTTGATACCACAACTCAATCAAACAGCAACACAGAGTTTCAGTATCACGGACCTTAGGAACAATTTGGCATCGGCAATGCGTGTCAGATTGAATATTTTGTCACAAGAACAAGGGATCCCATGCGCTTTGGAAAACGAGAAGTCGGAGGAATTTCTTGAAATACTCGGTCTTTTCGAAACATCTTTGCAAGAGAACCGCGACAGCGGAGACTTGCAGCGGCAGTATCACAACCTCCAATGGATTGCCGGTCTGTGCTTTGGTCCAGCTGTAAGGCTCCAACCGTTATCCCTGTACCGGTTTTTTGACTCCTTTTATACCGCCGAAGCTATTGCTCAAAAGCATGTCCAATCTTGGGCTGGACTTACTGGACGTTCCAAGGTGCACAAAATGCTCTTGGCAACTGAACTGGCCAACAAATTCGACTTGACGCTTCAAGGAATCCGCATTTGCCTGAACTTCTCTCCATCCAATGAGCAGGAAGGAAATATTCGCATATGGCACCTAATTCAAAACATGAAGTCGAGAGGCTTTGGTTGGCTGATGAATGCTTATACTTTGGCTCCAAAAGAAACGGGTCTCCGAACTTTGGAAAAGCTCACATCTTCAGAGTGGGTTCCGATGGTTAGTTTTGATGACATGAGGTTCATTGCAGATGATTCTTGCAGTGATGTCGTGTTCGTGGACTGGTCTGGCGAACTCGATTATGACGGATTGAGTCCGCCTCTTTTAGTCACATGCTACCAAGGGTGTGCGCCAAACATATGGTCTACCAAAATGAGTTGGAGAGAAGTTCACGACGTGATTGACAAGTTCGCTTCGCTAGGGACAGAAGACTTGAAGGCGAAAGACGCGGATGAGCTTCTGAAACAGCTGCAACCCTTGGTACAGCCTCTTGCACATGCTACTAAGCCTGGTCAGACATTAGTCTTCTGTCCCGCAGGCAATTTGCATCGGATCCCGCTACATGCCTTGGAACTTGATGGAGATGTCTTGATTCAGCGAAATCCCATCGTTTATTGTAGCAGCCTGACAGCGCTAAAAGCCGCATTTCAATCCAGGAAACAGTACGAGTCGCGTGGAGGCAGCCTATCCCGGGAGTCTGGTGACGTAGGAGAAAAGTGGAAGGCTTCCTTATTCGGCGGATCCGCACAGGCCTTTACATCTCTTCAATCCCTTGGTAACAAGTTCAAGGCCCAATCTTTTTCGGGAGACTCTTTTACGGCTTCCAACTTTCGCTCGGAGATTTCTTCTGGGACCGACCTTCTGCACTACCATGGCCACGGCGAATTCACGGACGAAGACCCGTCGAAGCAGTGTTTGTTATTTGGCCATGGCGATGAGTCTCTCACTATCGATGACATCTACGACCTCTCGCCCGCCCCACGCTCTTATCATGCGACGCTTCTTGCATGCGGCAGTGGTTTGTCGAGAACAAACCTGAGCAACGACGTCATTGGCCTTGTTCCTGCATTTCTCTATTCCGGAGCTGCATCAACTGTGTCGACTCTCTGGAAGTTTGACGACAGTGATGCGGCATTATTCTCTGACCTTTTTTACTCTTCATTCAACATGTCGCTGAGCGGCCAAGACGAAATCAGGGTCGATCTCGCAAAAGCCCTACAGTCCGCCGTACTTGCCATCAGAGAAAGGAAACCTGAGTTGTACCATTGGGCGCCGTTCGTGTTACACGGGCATTGGATGTTCAAGGCCAGAAGCAGGGGTTCTCGCTCTGAGGAGCCTAAAGAACCAGGACAAGTACAAAGTGGTGGAGATGGTGAATCGACAAGCAAAGAGGAGTGTGAGAAGTTGCTAGGGGAGGAGAATCTCGACACCCTAGCGAATCTTACTATCTCAGCAGTAATGTTGCAAGATCAGGGCAAGTACAAAGAAGCAGAAGAGATGAATCGACGAGTACTGAATGGGAAAGAGAAGGTTCTAGGGAAGGGGCATCTGGAAACACTGATCAGCGTTACTAACTTAGGAGTTGTGTTGCAGAGTCAGGGTAAATATGCGGAGGCAGAGGCAATGCAACGACGAGCACTGGAGGGGCTTGAGTCGAAACCGGGAAAGCAGCATCCCGTTACATTGACATGTATGGGCAGACTGGCATTGGTACTACAGGATGAGTGCAAGTACAGAGAGGCAGAAGCATTGAATCAACAAGTACTAGAAGGATATGAGAAGGTACTCGGGATGGACCATCCGGATACACTGGCATGCATCAATAATCAAGCATTGGTGCTACAGAAGCTGTGCAAGTATGAAGAAGCGGAAACAACATATCGACAGTTGCTACAGAGATACGAGAAGGCACTAGGGAAGGAGCATCCACACAATTTGATAAGCATCGGTAACCTGGCAGTGGTGCTGCAACTTCAGGGCAAATATGAAGAGGCAGAAGCAACGAGCCGAGATGCACTGAAGGGAAGCGAAAAGACACTAGGGATGGACCATCCGAATACGCTGATGAGCGTCTGCAGCCTCGCCTCTTTGCTCCACCTTAGGAAACAGTACGACGCTTCCTCCGACTTGTATCAGAGAGCATCCGATGGTTTTGAGATAGCTCTTGGACCAAGCCACCCGAGGACTATTGCATGCAATAACGGTTACAATTCATTGAGACAGGAGATGACAATTCTGGAAGCTGACAGCTTATCGGATGGACTGAACCGTATGCGCACCCTGTAAGTCTATCTCAGAGCGGTTTACAACATGTACATATGCTAAAAACGAGCCTTTGCTAATTATAAATACCGTTTAGGCCTGCGTCCGACTCAAATTTGACAGATGGACCTTGACCTTAACGTTTTGAAATGTGACGATACGTGGGCTGTAGGATGATTCTGGTCCCGTGACTAATTACGTATTTAGCTCAGGTCAGCTAGGAGTGGGGCTACATAGGGCCAGGCCCTAAACAGCTAATAGGAATAAATCAAATCAAGTCAAATCAAATCAATCAATCAATCAGCGTACCCCACGGCCTCCTAGCTTCACCTACAAGCCCAACACGTGATAACTGGGGAATTTTGCTTAACTTGCACGTGATCACCTACGAGCATCTTCTATCTCTATATTAACGAATCGTCCGCACAAAACGGTCACCGGCACGTGATCGCCCGTAAGGTCCGTGCCAGCACACCAAACGGTTCTACGTCCTTAACTCTCTTAATTCCTCCTCACGGCTCTCAATTCCTCCCTAAAATGGACCCCGACTACGATTTTAACTTCTTAGACTCTTTACCTACACCAGCTTTTGTCCAACGTGCCGTGCCCGTCGATTCACGTTAGACACGCCTTGCCCGAGCTGCGAACGACGGGAAGAAGTACGACAAAACCCCTCCCTTCCTCTTGAACGCTTCCGTTGCTCTAAATGCAAGTGTTTTCGACTAATTACGGACTATCCTTTGAATTCGCGGGACTTCCGGGCCGTAACGTGCTCCGCGTGCCACGCCCGTCGACGTGACGAATATCGTGAGAAGAAGGGGGAGCCGGTTTCAAAGGAGGGACGGGTCCGGCGGTTTAAACGGGCACAACGGGTCGTGGAAAAGGCCTTGCGGGCACGGATACGGAGAGAGGAGGCACGAGAGCGGGTAGTAAAAGCACAGGAGAGAGCGGAGTGGTGGGAGCGAACGGGACAAGAGCTTTGGAGAGAGGCTATACGTAAGGGAGAGGACCCGCGGACACAGGGTTGGGAGGAAGCTATACGTGCGAGGGAGGGTCCGCGAGAAGAGGAACGGACGGAGGAACGGATAGGAGAGAGCTGGGAGGGTGCAACGAACGGGGAAGAGGGCTCTGCAGGTGAGAGCGAGGCTTGGGAAGGCCCGCAAGATGGCTTGGGGGGGGGGTAGGCCAGCAAGAGGACAGGGACGTGGATACGGATCGGGGGGAGAGTATAGGGGGTTCTACGCGTTCGCAAAAGAGCTGGGAGGGTTCTATAACCCCGGTAAATAGCCCGCAAGACCAGTTTTGCTCCTCTTGCAATCAAAAGAAGCCTCTTACTGTGACGGCACGTACAAAGGGATGCTAAGGAACGGGCGGTAAGGCCGGAGATTCCTGATCTTGTAGTAGATTGCCTATGAACGAAGGATCTAAAGCTAAGGAGAGAAGAAGAGAAGAGAGAGAAAGGACTATGGAGGCTCGTATATATACAAGGGGCCTCTACGTGAGTCGCTTCCTGAGACGGGCTCAGGAAGCCTCAGGGGGTAGTCAGGTGAAAGTCAGGTGACGACAGAATCGTCACATTACCCCCCCCCCCCTTTGAAAAAAGCTTGCCCTCAAGCTTCTAGACATCTCTCTACTATCTTCCAGCTCCTCGTATGAGTCTGCGCCCTCTTCCCACTTCCGAATCCAGGTATTCAGGAGCGCCGGAGGCCCTGGTAGGCTCTGATTTGCTAAGTGGAAGTCCCGTAGCTTGTGAGGTGAGTACTTAAAATCAGCTGCTGGGTACCACTCTGGGTCTTCGTCACATCCCACCCACTTAGCCCTGTAATGCAAGGTCTTATAGGTCTTGCGTACGGCAATTATCTCCTCTACTTCCCATTCCTGATCCTCTGTTACTTGGATCGGTGGCGGAGGGTCGTTTTGCTGTCCGGGTAATGGGTCTTGGGCCGCCTTGCGTAGCCTGTCTAGAGAACACAGGGTGTATTTTCCTAGACTCTGGTAGCTTAACCTCGTACGAGTGTCCAACTTGTCTGAGTGGCAATCATCAAGGCTTTACTCCATAACCGGAAGGCAGTCGACCTAGGCCCTATTATCTATATATGCTACACGAATCATGCTCTCGATCAGTTATTAGAGCATTTAGTGAAGGATGACGTAATGCAAGTCATCCGTATAGGCTCATGATTCAAATCCGATTTGCTTTAAAATCTCACTCTTTATTATATACGGGAAGGAACTAAACCCACGAGAACAGAAAAACATAATACGTGGGAATATAATTAGGATATTAGGGAAATACTACGAGAAATTAAAGATATATTATCTAGGTTAAATAATCCAAACTCTTGAATAAATATCTAAGCCCATCTTATAAGGACCTATAATCCGTACTTCAAGGAATTATTCGGGAAGAGGGTAAATAAGGAGGGATTTTAGGAAGTAAAGAGAAGGAAGTTTAGGGTTATAGAGAGTTAGCTTAGAGGAGCACTAAAGAAACTCGCTTCGAATTATTCTATTACTCAGCTCTTGGCCATTTCTCTAAGAAAGATATTAATATTAGAGCATGATATTCTCTATAAGTATTAGATTAAGTAAAGAAGTATATAACTTACTAATAATCTTACTTATATACTAGATTCCTACTATGGTTCCAAATCCGTACTAGATAGATATTATAGGGAACTAGATCTTTAATATCTTTGAGAAGCCCACGTTATTAGCATAATAATATCTGGGCTAGTAAGAAATATCGAGTTACTCTAGTATATGTAAGCAAAAGTTATACTTTATAAAGAAGCTAGAGAAGTTCTTAAGGCATATACCCTTACTATATTCTTACCCGGAATTAAATATATAATCTTAATTAGTAATTATAAGTAATTCCGGCCCTAGATTAATAACTATAAGCTTTAATATAATAATTCCCGAGGCAAGAGATATTCCCTTAATATCTCGCTATTTAAGTATCTCGTTAGGCCACAAATAGGGAATCTTCGGGTACTATTAAGTATATTAAAGACTTAGTAATAAATATATCCTTTTATCTCAGAGCTAGTTAGAGTTCTGCTTTATTCGGACTTGCAAGATTATTCCTTAGTATTAGAATATCCGGAAGTTAATAGGATACGAGATTATTTATATTAGCTTAATTATTAAGAGAAAGAAAACCCGCGATCTGCTTAAGCTATTTCCTTATTTAGAACTAATATTTTTGAAGTAGATATAATTACTATTCTTGTCTTATATCTTATAAGGCAAGAAATATATAGGAGTAAGGATATTATAGTTATTACTTTATATCTGGGATAATTATAGAAAATCAAGAAGTAACTAGTGAATTTCTTCGAAATTATTATTAGGGATTGAGATTAAGAAGAATTAGAAGCTCAGGAACTTTAAGATAACCCGGAAACTTCTATAAATAGCCAAGTTCAAGTCCAGAAAATAATACTACTTAATACTTTGAGAATTACTACTATAGATAACTTCTAAGGCAAAGAGGCAAAAGTTATTATTATCTTATTAGTTTGAAGTAATAATAAGCAGAAATATGGATTTTTAAAGACTTCTAATTATATTAATATATTACTAAGTTATGCTTAATATAGGATATATATTATTAGTAACTCTAATACCTTGAGGCCTATTCTTATATAGACTAAAGTACTTTCTATTTTAGAATACTTAAATAATATTAGTCTAAGTCTTATATTATACTATCCTTAATATAAAGAAATACTTATTAAAGTCTTAGAGCCGGACGATTTCACTATATTTGCCCCTAAAGGCAGTTATACTAGGAGATACTTATTAAGACTTCTCTATAAGTATTCCTGTTCTAATATATACTATTTTATATCTTTATATAATATAGTTTATTGCCTTAAATATTACTTAAGAATAAAGAAAGATTGCGAGTATAAGTATCCGAGATCTTATAGAGATCTATATAAGCCAAAATACCAAGTTATATTATTTAATATCTCTTTATTATATAAATATATTATTAAGTAATTAAGATATTATAAAGCGCAGATACTAGAGAAAGTTTACTATTAGGTTTAAATAGAATAAGTTATAAAGTATTATAAATATAAAATCCGAGTCTATTATTATAAACTGCTTTTAGATATTAATTACTTCTATTTAGTAACCTGCGGAGTAGTACTAACTTATAGATATAACTATATATATACTTATAAAAATTATAATATTAGGATTAATAATATAATTATTAAGAAAATATATAAAGTTTATAATACCTAGTATAGAAAACTATATATGACTTATAGTTATAGCTATAAAGCTTTATACTATAGTAATATGCCCTATTCTCTTTATATGAAACCCTATAAAGTTAGCTATAATTATTTGAAATATAGTAAGCTATATTATAAGCCTTATATATTATATACTAAGGATTATTCCTGGTCTTATTTATATTACGGATAGTGCCTATTACTATATATACTGCCCTATAATCTATTACTATACTTAGAGTACTATATAAAGATATTAGCTTATAGGTATTAATATTCGTTTATTTATAAGAAGATCTATTCAGGTATTATATATTATTAGATATATATATACTTAATAATTAAGGAAATAGTTATTAACTTTATTTTATTATTTATTTTTAAGAAAGTTAATCTTAATAAGAATTCTTATATTATATTATTATATAAATACATTCTTACCCTAGAGAGCATAAATAAATATATAAGTATGTCAGATTTCTATACTATAAATAGTAAAGGCTCAATTATAGACCTAAAGAATAGTACTAAATTATTCTCTATTTCTGAGATAAAAAGCTACCTAACTTGCTATAGCCCTTTATAAAACCTTAATTACTATAGCCGTATTATTTATTAAGTATTAATTAATAAGGTAATAAAGAAATTCATTATCTGGGCTAATATGAAATTCATTTCTCTAGTTACTAAGATACAAGTAATTAAGGCAGACTTCCGCGAGATTACTAGAGGTAGCTAAAAGGCTTCTAATAAGGTATTACCAGAAACTTCTTTATTAGGACCTCTTTAGTTAAAAGGAAGTCGTAATTACTAAATCTTCCAGATTAGAATACTTACGCAAAAAGAGAACTAATATAAAATAATTATTAAGCTTTAAAGAGAGATTAAGAAGTTTCTATAATAGGTTAATAAGAAAGAATAATTCTTTAGTTATATCTATAACCTCATTTAAGATACCCGTAAATATTATAGAATTAATACTAATTTATACTCTAAAGTTAATATTCTTTAGGTATATAACCGACTTCTAATTATAGTACTACTTATTAGATATAACTATACTATTCTTCTGACTTTCCTTAATAATTAGAAAGATAAAACTAGTACAAGTTCTCCTAGTATCCAGGTTAATTTAAGTATTAATAGAAAGAAATACGAAAAATTAATAGTAGAATCTTACTTAAGAAATTAACTAGGAAGTTATATTAAGGGCCTCTTATACTAGGCACGGTTTCTCGCCCTTAAGTAAAGTCTCGCAGAGCCTGGATTAGAGCTTATATAGCTCTTAAATAAGGCTAGGAAATATCTCTAGCTAGTATATAAAATATATAATAAATATCCCGGCTAAATAGTAGGTATAAGAAATAAAGTTAAGAATATTAAGAAGATACTACGCAATTTAATATTCTATATACTAGTAAGTAATAAGGAAAAAGCTACTATATATATAGCTATAGCATATGACTTTAAAGGAACTAGGTATTAGTATTACTATAAGAATAGCCACCTATTTATAATTAGAGAATATAATATACTAATAGAAATCTCTTAATACTTATAATATGGTTTTCCGGTTAGTAATTATAATTATTAGGCTATTAGTAGTATTAGACCTATAACGGACTTGAAGTATTAATTTGGCAGAGTCAGAATTTAATATTAGAGACACGGAGTTTAATAAGAAAAGTAATAGAAATAAATACGGGAATATTATTAAGACTGGAATTTTATTACTTGGATATTATATATTATTTATTTAATAGAGGCAATTAGTATTAGAGATTTTTTTGCTTAATATATATAGTTAATAGGCCCCCTAATATTATAACTCTTTAATAACTTATTATTATACTTGACCTAGTAAAAAGAATATTAAGAGAATTATAAATTTAATAGCCTATAATTCTTTCTTACTAGTTTCTCGTACTTAAAGACTCGCAATAAATACAAAATAGTAATATTTCCTTTAATACTATAAGAAGTATTATAAAGCCCTTTAATACTATTATAATTAATATATATTTTGGATATCTAAGACTATATTAATAGAAGCTATATTAGATTTAATACTCGGAGTAATTAAAGAGAGAATAGGGAAGAGAAATATTACGAAGTATAAGAGTAATAAGATAAATATAAAAGAGATACGGGAAAATAACTAAGAAATTAAAATTCTTTCTTTATATTATACTAATACTATTATTAGAATAAGAATAGCTATTACTTTATTTCCTTTATACTCTACCCGCCAAATACGTATATTTAGCCTCTAGATTACTTCCTGGGTCTTAAATAGTATGCCTACCCTTAAGGCTTTATAGCCTTAACTAATATTAACTTCTTAGGTAATATATAATTACGAGGGGCTATAGAGTTCCGCTTGCGTATTAAATGACTTGGCTTTGCGAATATGCCATATTAGACTGGTTTATAAGTAATTCTTTAACTTGCTTGCTTTATTACGGGTATCTTTTATTATTTTCTTTCCTTATTTACTAGAGCTTCTGCAAGTATTAATGCGGGTTATTTGGATTAGTTATTACTACTAATTCCCTGGTCTCGGGTAGTACTTTTTATAATTCTTGTATGCCTGGGGAAATAATCTTAGTATTTGGGATAAAGACTAAATAAAGTATAAGAATTTCCTGGCTAATTATAGAGTAATTACTATATCTAGAAAATTAAATAAATATGTCCTATATTATAATATTAAGAATAGACTTGACTATAATAAGTTTATATTTATTAATATAGTGCCTTATAAAGGCGAATCCGGAAAAAGAGTTATTAGTAATAAGCCTGCCTTAATAAAACTCTTTTCTGTCTCTTTATTAGTCTCTATTACTTCTGGAGATTTCCTTAGCATCTTTTCTAGGAAGCTTTAATATATAGATTTAAAGCTATTAAAAGCTATTAAGGGCCTTATTCCGGGTTTTTGGCTAGACTATTCGGAAATACCAGGAAATCTTAATTAGATAAAGGTAATAAAGCCTAGTAAGAAGACAAATATCTATCTTATATAAGAAAGAATAAATAAGATAAAGGAAAAGAAGTTCTTTTATTAATATTAGAAAGTCCTTATTATAGCTATAAGAGAAATTATACTATTTAACTAGCTTATTTGTTTTTTCTAACTTGGGTTTCTCTGAGATAGTAGTCTATATAATACCTTATAGTTTTATAGAAAGTAGGAAAGCTTTTAAGATAAATAATATAAGGCAAGTAGGAATTATAATTAATTAATAATAGATAAATAGTAATAGAAATAATTATATATACCCGAGAATTAATAGCTTAACTTAATTACTATAACTTTCTTAGTATTCTTATCTTTATATATTATCCTAGTATAAAAGTATCCGTATTACTTAAAGTTTATGGCTAGGTCTTGGCTTTAAGTATTTCCGGTTCTAGTACTTGCCTTCTTTACTTACTTGTTCCATATTATTAACTCGTACCTAGTAAGTATAATTACTATAATGTTCTAATAATTAAACTAAGTAATAGAAAGTAGTAATTTGCTATTTTTATTTATATAGTTTGGTTTAGTACTATAGTTTAAGAGCAATTATACTACTTTAAAGTAGCTATATACTATTACCTGGAATAATAGAATCTGCCTAGTTATACTTTATATATTTATATTAATAGTACTTATTATAAGAAGAACTTTAATTACTTCTTTATACCCAGACTCTAATATCCTCTATAAATGAGTTATCTTATAGATATTTTGCTTGTCTAGAGAAATACTATTAGTAATAAATTAGTAAATAGTTGCGGTATTCTTCTTTTTAGTAATATTATAGAGGCATGAGATATTAAGACATTACTTTTTATTACTACTAATACTATCTTATTAATTAAGGAGACTAAGGACTTGTTCTTAACTACTTATAGTAGCTGCCTTAATTACTCTAATAGTAACTTTAATACTAATAGTTTAATAGAGTAATTAAACTACCTCGTAACTTATAGACTTGTTAGAAGCTGCCTCTTTAAATACCTCTTTAGTAACCTTGACTTTATTACCATACTAGTCAAGAAGTAGTAATATTATCTCCCTGCTATTAAACTCGTTTCTAGCTACTATCTTAATTACCTCTTTAGTAATCTTAATATTATTACTATACTAGTTAAGAAGTAGTACTATTACCTCCTTACTATTCTAGTTCTTAGCTATTGCCTTAATTACCTTTTTAGTAATCTTAATCTTATTACCGCACTAGTTAAGAAATAGTGCTATTACTTTCTTACTATTACCCCAGTTCTTAGCTATTACCTTAATTACCTCTTTAGTAACCTTGACTTTATTACCGTACTAGTTAAGAAGTAATACTATTACTTCCTTACTATTATTCCGGTTTCTAGCTATTATCTTAATTATTTCTTTAGTAATTTTAACCTCATTACTATACTAGTCGAGAAGTAGTACTATTACCTCCTTACTACTATTCGGGTTCCTAGCTATTGCCTTAACTACCTTCTTTATAATCTCGAACTCATTACTATACTAGTTAAGAAGTAGTAATATTATCTCCTTACTATTAAACTTGTTCCTAGCTATTGCCTTAACTACCTCTTTAGTAATCTTAACCTCGTTACTATATTAGTTAAGAAATAGTACTATTATTACTTTACTACTTTCCTAATTCCTAGCTATTACCTTAATTACTATTATAGTAATCTAAACCTTATTATTATACTAGTTAAGAAGTAGTACTATTACCTTCTTACTATAGCTCCTATTTCTAGCTATTACCTTAACTACTTCTATAGTAATCTAGACCTTATTACTATACTATATAAGAAGTATTTTTATAGCTAGTATATTAAATAATTTTGCAAGTGCCTAGACTAGCTAAGAGGTAATAATAATACTATTACTATACTAGTTAAGAAATAGTACTATTATCTCCTTATTACTTTCCCGGTTCTTAGCTATTACCTTAATTATCTTTATAGTAATCTGAACCTTATTACTATATTAGTTAAGAAGTAGTACTATTATCTCCTTACTATTCTCCTAGTTCTTAGCTATTACCTTAACTACTATTATAGTAATCTGAACCTCATTATTATACTAGTTAAGAAATAGTACTATTACCTCCTTATTATTATTCTAGTTCCTAGCTACTACCTTAACTACCTCTTTAGTAATTATAATCTTATTACTATACTAGTTAAGAAGTAGTACTATTACCTTCTTACTATAGCTTCTATTTCTAGCTATTACTTTAATTATCTCTATAGTAATCTGGACCTTATTATTATATTATATAAGAAGTGTTTTTATAGCTAGTATATTAAATAATTTTATAAGTACCTAAACTAGCTAAGAGGTAATAATAATACTATTACTATACTAGTTAAGAAGTAGCGCTATTACTTCCTTATTACTATACTTATTTCTAGCTATTACCTTAACTATCTCTATAGTAATCTAGACCTCATTACCGTACTAGTCAAGAAATAGTACTATTACTTCCTTACTATTACTCTAGTTCTTAGCTATTGCCTTAACTACTTCTATAGTAATCTGAACCTTATTATTATACTATATAAGAAGTGTTTTTATAGCTAGTATATTAAATGATTTTGCAAGTACCTGAATTAGCTAAGAGATAATAATAATGCTATTATTATACTAGTTAAGAAATAGTACTATTACTTCCTTACTATTATATTCATTTCTAGTTATTACTTTAATTACCTTAGTAGTAATCTGGATCTTATTACTATATTATATAAGAAGTATTTTTATAGCTAGTATATTAACGGATTTTATAAGTATCTAGACTAGCTAAGAGATAATAATAATACTATTACTATATTAGTTAAAAAGTAATACTATTACCTTCTTATTATTATTTTAGTTCTTAGCTATTACCTTAATTACCTTTATAGTAATCTGGACTTCGTTATTATACTAGTTAAGAAATAGTACTATTACTTCCTTACTATTATTCTAGTTCTTAGCTATTACCTTAATTACCTCTTTAGTAATCTTAATCTTATTACTAAGCTATATAAGAAGTATTTTTATAGCTAGTATATTAAATGATTTTGCAAGTACCTAAACTAGCTAAGAGATAATAATAATACTATTACTATACTAGTTAAGAAATAGTACTATTATTTCCTTACTACTTTTCTAGTTCTTAGCTATTACCTTAACTACTTCTATAGTAATCTGGACCTCATTACTATATTAGTTAAGAAGTAGTACTATTACCTTCTTACTATTATTCCGGTTCCTAGCTATTACCTTAATTACTTCTTTAGTAATTTTAATCTCATTACTATACTAGTTAAGAAGTAGTACTATTACCTTCTTACTATTATACTTATTTCTAGCTATTGCCTTAATAACCCCTTCCGTAACCGGGATATTATCTCTTTTTAAGTTTAATAAGAATATTATTAGTTCTTTACTAGTTAATATAATAATCTAGACTATATCTTCTTCTGAGATCTGAATATTATTTCTTATTTAATTTATTAGACTTATTATTCTTTCTTGCTTCTATAAGCTTAAATAATCTTAGTATATATAAGTTAATACTAGGTTAGCTATATTATTTAGTATATCCCTATAGTCTAACTTTTATATATACTTCCTTATTTATATTACTTATAAAAACAGATTCTTTGCCTTTATTTATTATTATTTACTCTTATATATTAATATAAGGCTATTTATACTAGTAAGTATATTAAGGTTTCCTTCCCTAAATACCTCTATTACTTCTTAAAGCCTTTTTTCTGCCTCTTTATACTCTTTCGAGTTCTCTAGGGCTAGTGCTATATTATATAACCTAGTTACCTTCTCTATTCTATTTAAATATCCTAATACTAGGTGATTTATTTCTACTAAAGCTTTATATCTTACTTTATTTTACAAATTTTTGGGGGGCTTTTCCTAGTTCCAGATAAGTAAGAAGTTATATAAGAAGCTTTTTACTAAAGCCAAGGATTCTTAATACTTAATATATCTGCTCTCTATTTATATAGACTTCTAAAAAGTAACTGAAATTATAATAATAGTAAAATAATTCTTATATACTTAAATAATAATTAGCTTTAAAGCCCTTTATAAAAGATAGATAAAGTCTTGTTTCTGGATAGGCTTTACTAAGGCCTAAAGAGTTTATTAAGTATTATACTTCTTCTCGTATTTTAAGAACTTTAGTATATTATTAAAAACGATATTTATATATTATTTATTATACTAAGTACTATTATTATTTACTAAGGAGACCCGACTAAGAATATAGCCCTTGCTCTTAATTACTACTATTTTCCTCTTATCTCAAGTCTTTATAGATATCTTTTTAGAAAAAATAAATTTAATAACTTACTATAAAAGTATTTTCTATAGAATTATATAGTTAGGTAATAAGCTAGTCGTATTAGGGTTATTAAAACTTATACTAAGCAAGGTATATATTATATTATAGTTCTTAGTAGTATTGCGGTTATAGTATATATCTATTAACTTGCCTAGAGAAAGTTTACTAGATAAACTCATATATTTTAACTAGAAGATTACTTCCCTTATTAGGTAAATTACTAAATAAATTAGACTTTATAAGTCTAGATAAGTATAGGAAAGCTCTAATTTATTAAAACCTAAGTAGAAGGCATACCTATTTATTTTTATAGAGCCATATATAATTAGAATATATTAAGCTATAGTAATTTCCTAAAATACCTAAATTAACTTTTTAGTAATTTCTGCGAATATTACTAACCTATTTACTACTTACTCAGATATACTAAAACTATAGTTATTTAAATAGTTTAAGAATTGATTTCTGACTCTTATTACTTTTTAATAAAGTAGTAAACTTATCTTCTATAATAATATATATATTTTCGAGTACCTAATTACTATTATCTATTATCTTATTAAGATAAATAATTATGCGGTTTACTTAATTATAGATCTTTACTATTAACTAAATCTGGTATTTTTTCTCTTTTTTATTTTCTTAGTTAATATAAATAAAATCTACTTATATAATTTATTTAAAAGAGTAATCTCAAAGACATAAAAGTACTATATAAAGGTTTACTATAACAGGCACGTTATACTTATTTATAGAGATAGACTTAGGGGTTTCCTAATAGCCCCATATATAGGATAAAGCCTTATATAGGTGAGTTCCTTTACTCGATTCTTATAAAGAGTACTCAAAGAGTTTGTATTATATAGGAATAGCCTTATCTTTATATAATATTAGGTAAAGCAAGCAAATATTATTAGGCCCTGGGGTAAGCAGAGAATAATAGTAGTAAGACATGGCATGAAATATAGTATATAGAAACTCGAATAAGACTATATTAAATAGTTATAAAGTAGTATAGTATATTAGTATATTTGGTATTATTATTATAAATCGGCGGGATAAATATTAGGGATTCTATAGCTATATGGCATCCTGTATTAGATTATATATACGCTTTTCTTAAGCAAAATTATAAAAGGTGCCTAGAGATAATAGATTACTAGGCTATAATACGAAAGTTTGGCCTATAGTAAAGGAAAGGGCACGGCTTCTTTTTCAAGTACTATATATATATATGCCTATACCTGAGTACGAGCTTGAGCCTATACTATTATAATAATAGTAGGCACTACTAGTACGGGATTTATAACTCTTAGTATATGAGATATACTATATTATATTAATTACTAGAAGTTTTTTATTAGCCTTTTCTCAGTTATCTAGAATTATTAGTTTAATCTTTGGCTTGGAATTACGACTTGTAATTGCCTTACTAAATATACTATTTCTTAATATTATAATATTACTAATTTTCTAATAATAATATCTATTATAAATTACTTTATATTTATTACTTCTCTTTTATAAATATAATCTAATACCTATAAGTATAACTTAGTAATATAATATCTAAAAATATATTAAATCTAAATATAATAAAAGTAAGAAAGTTAAATTATACTATAAGATCTGCCTTACTTCTATTTAGGATATAATATAAGGAAACTCAAGAAGCTTAGCTCTGGTAGTAACTAGTAATACCTAACTCTTTTAGCTATTAATATAGAAAAGTTATTAGATAGGAAAACTTATTATATATAGAAACTATTTTAGAACTATTATTAGGGACTCGAATTTTTTTATTTCTATATCTTTTAATACCCCTGTATAAAGCTTAATAATTTGAGGTATTCTAATTATTAAAAAAGAAACAGAAAAGTTTATTTAGCTTTTACGAATATTCAAATTTATATTTCCCTATTCTTTCTAAAGTACTATTAATTAGAGCTATAGCCGCAGGTCTTTTCCCATACTTCTTATTTCTAATACCTTAACTCGGATATTCTTTAATATTAAGTATTTCCGCCTTTTTAATAGTATTTAATTTAATATCCCTATAAATTAAGACCTTATATAATATTTAATCTGAGATAATATATCGAGGTTTTGACTTTTCTTTTACTACTTATTTTTAGACTTGGCAGGCTTTATATATATAATATCTAGTTACTTGTATTATCTGGAAATAATTCCTTTTTATAAAGTTAGTCGAGAAGTTTTCGGAAATAATTTCATTAATTCTATTTATACCTATTTTATTAAAGGAAGCTTATCGGGAAAAAGAATATAAATAATCTAATATATTATTAGATAATTATTAGGGCTACTAGTAAATATTAATATAATAGGATACTTACTTATAAAAGTCTAGAGATAATAATACTATAGCTACTATATAATAGGCCTTTTTACTAGGTCCGGAAATCTGCCTAAAGCCTTAATAATAATTATACTAAGCCTATATATATTAAGGCCCGTTATCTAGTTACTTCCCTACTAAAGCTCCGGTATTTTATAGGAGTTTATTCTAACTAAAGTATACGAGTTATTAATAGTCTTAGTAATACTAAAATTACTAAATAAGTATTTCCTATAATAATATAATATATTTAAAGGCTTTATATCTCGATATATAATAAGCGGATTATATATATATATATATATAATCTAGTCTAAGGCAAATCTAAAGAAGTATTATTATTATTATAGTTTGCTTTTCTTTTTCGGATTTAAAGTTTTTAATTTACTAGTAAAAGCTCCCTTTATAAACTAATTAGAAAATATTAATATTATGTCCTATAGACTAACCTTAAGAGCAGATATATTAGAGAATATAATCCTAATAAGCTATTAGTATAACTATAACCTTAGAGTTAAAATAGAGAAGCTTATATAATATAGTTTCGAGAATAAAGCTACCTTCGCTTTAATCTTTAGCTTAAAGTCTTTCTCTATAGTAATTCCCAATTTTAGTATTAGCTTAAACTTAATAATCTTATAAGTATAATAGTTACTAATATATATATTAATAACCTTATATATATTACCCTAAGAACCTTTACTAAGAGGCTTTACCTTTATATATCTAATCTCATTATCTAGTTTAGGTTAAAAAGAAATATTTATTTTAGTATTATAAATACTTAATATAATGAATCTTAGATTAAAAGCTAATATTTATTAAAAAGTCTCTTTATATATTCCCTTATATTCTTTGGGAACTAGTTAGTAAATAAATAATAGCCTTTCTTTTATAAATATTTCGGGATCTTATACTTTCTATAGCTTTAGAAAAAATTAGATATAACTCATTTTTAGAGTTTATATTTAATCTAGAAA